GAAGAAGAGCAACAATGGGGAAGGGGCGTGTCTCGACCAGAGAGGCTACCCGGAACCTCTCTTTCCCCGAAGGTCCGCTACAGCCAGGCCTGCGACCAAGCTACGTCCCGGGACGACGGTCCTTTTGCTCGCGTTTACCTCCTCGGCAGACTGGAGCTCATCCATCGTCCTCCTTCTGACTCAGCTCCGGCTCCAACCCCTCGCGTTCGTTGCCGCTACGCGACGAACTCCCTCCTCCTCTTTCTCGTCTTCCTTCTGCGGTTGCGCACTGCGGTCGACGCCTTCAGCCAATCACCCGACGCAGACAGGCATGCCCGACGGGGGAGGGAGGGACGGTGAGTGGGGCGGGGTTTGCTGGGCTACTGCTTTCTGCTCGCGGGGCTCTCTCGGTTTTCACCGCTTCCCCTTTCTGAGTGTGACGTGTCCTCTCACGTGGGACGTTGCAGGCGTCGCTCGCAACCGCCGGATAGTAGGAGATGATGAACGCTTAGTTGATATTCAGTCCTCGCCTTGCCAAAGGTGGGAGGGCGGCGGGTGCGCGCGCAGCAGTGTTTTTCAAGCTTGGCCTCTTAAAGATGGGGGCGGGTTTCAGTTTTAATCCACCCCCGTCTTGAATTTGCCAAGCTTGAAAAACACCCGTGTGCCACAGTCGCGAGAAGGGGCGAAGGAAATCTGACGCTTTCGTGGACAAAAACCGGGGTTTAAGAGACGTGGGGCATAATTTTTCACCGCTTGCATTTTGGCGCACTCCTTAAGGCTAACGCTCACAACAGAGGGCAGCAATCTGCCGTCTGAAATCATAATCATAAGTTTATTTGTCAAGAATATATAAGATAACAGGTAAAAGTATAAACATAATTTGAATACATGAAAAGAGTAAGTAAAAAAAGGAATATTAGGACCGGGGCGGTAGGCACGCTGGTGTTTTAATGATAAAGAAATGATCTTGAGAAAGGTAAATAGAAGCAGACCAGGTTGATACGTAAGTGGGAAAAAACAAAACAAAACCCAACAGGAGATCCCAGGGCTGTGGAAGAGATGAGGAGATAAAGTCTCTCTCACGTGCATGAACATCTAGGAAGAAAGCAAGAAAACAATACTGTTTGCCTCTATCCACATGGAGTTGATTCTAGGTCAAGGATCTTCTATATTTATTTTTAGATGACTGTCCAAATAGGAAGCTGCCATGTGTTGGGTATCCATAATAATACTGTTCCTTTAGTGATGTCAAAAACAATCAGCCCCATTTATGGAATTATCAGTGTATAAGCTGCTTGAAACTTGTATCTGTTCCAGATCGAGCCAGTTATGCCAGTTTTGTGTCCTCCAGGCATATATTGACTTATAACTCCCATCGTCAATGATAATGAGGTGTATTGTTACAGATGTTAAAAACACCGTAGTCCACAACTGAGAAGAGCCAGATTGATGTAGTTGCTAAAGCATCAGGCTAGAAATTGGGAGACTGAGTTCTAGTAAGTCCTTTGGCATGAAGCAGCTGGGTAACTTTGAGCCAGTCACTCTCTTTCAGCACTAGGGAGGAGGCAAGGGAAAGCCACCTCTGCAAAATCTTGACAAGAACACTTTAGGGACTTGTTCAGGTAGTTGTCGGGAGTCAACAATGACTCAAAGGCACATAAACGCACACACACAGAGTCCACAACTGTGGAGCACTAGGTTGGGAAGAGCTGCTCTACTAAGGAGATCCTGACAGAACGATTAATCAGTTTAACGACTTTCCTTCAGAAGTTGTGGGTACTCCATCACTGGAGGTTTTTAAGGAGAGCTTGGACAACTACTTATCTGAAAGACAGGATCTCCTGCTTGAACAGGGGCTTGGACAAGAAGACTTCCAAGGTCCCTCCCAACTCTTATTCTGTTCTGTACTTTTAGTTTTGTGATAGTTGAATTTAATCTAGAAGCATCAGATTAGATGTTCCTCCTCTTCACTTCTGCTATCATCAGTTTGCTTTCTGTATAGAGACACTATATACAGTGGCTGGTGAATGCAGCACCATTCTTTTCTCCTTGCTCCATTTCTAGATAGCTTTGTATCTGCCACTAAGTATTATAAAATTACTCAGAGCTCAGCAAACTGAAGAGCACAACAGATCTTAAAAAGTCCCTACTGTGAAGGTGATTTATTTGCTAGAAATAACAAGACCATTAAATAGGTTAAACTGCCTTCACTTTTATCAAATAACAGAGGCAAAGTTTCTTTCAGCAAAACTAAGACAGAGCAGTGAAATGTCAGAGCTCAGTTGAAGGAAGGCAAACAGACAGACCAAAATAAATCTTTAAGAAAAGACAATAGCAATAACAATAGCACTTAGACTTATATACCGCTTCATAGTGCTTTACAGCCCTCTCTAAGTGGCTTACAGAGTCAACTATTTCTCCCAACAATATGTCCTCATTTTACCGACCTCGGAAGGATGGAAGGCTGAATCAACCTTGAGCCTGGTGAGATTCGATCTGCCAAACTGCTGGCAGCCGGTGATCAGCATAAGTAGCCTGCAGTACTGCAATCTAACCACTGCGCCACAGCTCAGAAAGAGGAGTCAGCAATAGAACTGAACATTTTGTGTGTGTGTGTGTGTGTGTGTGTGTGTGTTATGCATGTGAAGGGTTTTCCTCAGCCTGACAAAATCTCTGAGCAGTGCTAACCGAGGAGTGGGGGGAGAAAAAAAGAGTCTTGCTGAGAACTGAAAATCACATTGAGAGAACAGCAAGTGGTACATGTATGTACGGTAGATGAGAGGTCAAGGAAACTGAGGACTGGACAATCCTTCCCCCAGATAATCAGTAACGAGCCTTCATGATGGTAACCCCTGGCAAAGGGCTGCTGGAAGAGGCCATAATAGCATCTGGAACCTTGTGGCCTAGAAGTGGAGTGTGGAAAAGGATGAAATGCTTCCTGGCAAGGTGAAGCAATGGCAAGGAAGAGGCCTCTGGAAGTCACAGTCATCCAGGGTCAAGAGAGCTGAATCTCCAGCAGCTGCTACAGTCTTCATGATGCAAGGAAGAAGACCACATATCTCCCCTCTACTGGAATATATTTGATCTCCATCCCTATGAGTACATGGAAAGGTCTAGACTGGAAGAGCAGTAGTCTAGGCAGAGCTAAATGCAGAAAGAGTTTAAGTAGGTACATGTCATGGGAAAGAATAGTGAGTATATTGTGATGACAGTGGATTTTAGCATTCTACCACCTCTTACTATATTCGACAGCACAGTATCAACAGTGGAATCTTTCAAGTTTTTGTATTCTATAAACTCCCAGGATTTGAAATGGACACCTTACATGAGAATCATCATTTAAAAAGGACAACAAAGAATATTCTTTGAATCGATTTAGGAAGTTCAGCCTGCCCCAGGAGCTATTGATACAGTTTTACAGAGGAATTGAGTCAGACATTTGTACTTCTGTAACTGTCTGGTTTAGCATAGCAACTAAACAGGAAAGGTACAGACTCCAGCGGATAGTTAGGACTGCAGAAAAAACAATTGCAACCAGTCTGCCTTCTATAGAAGATCTGTATATTGCATGGGTCAGAAGGAGGAATGAGAAAATAACTACTGACCCCTCACATCCTGGACATAAACTGCTTGAACTCTTCCCCTCGGGACACTACTATAGGGTATTGTATGCCCAACAACTAGACATAGGGATAGTTTTCCCTCATGCCATTACTCTGCTGAATATCTAATCCTCACGTAATCCTGTCTATTCACCCTTGTTGTGTTGCTGTATTATTATTATTACATTATCATTATCATCATCATCATCATTATTCTCATCTCCTCTACTACCCCCCTCTTATTGGTATCATTATTATGATTAGTATTACTCTATTGCTTTGCATGTACATTGAGAGCTATGCATCAGAGACAAATTCGTTGTGTGTTTAATCACACTTGGCCAGATAAAGTCTATTCTATTCTATTCTATTCTATTCTATTCTATTCTATTCTATTCCATTCCATTCCATTCCATTCCATTCCATTCCATTCCATTCCATAGCACCATAATATATGGATAGATTATCATGTAATAAACAAATAGAAGTGGATGAAAACAGAATTTACTGTTTTACAGGAAAAACCTTATTCTGAAATCTATTACAATAAAATCAATTCTGAAGAGACTTATTCTGCCATTATCTGGTTCTGGCACCATCTCCTTCAAAGAATCCACAATGCTGGGATATTCCCTACAGAATTCCTAGGCACAAGTAGATCTTGACTGGTTCCAAAAAGCTGATCCCAAAGAGATGATAAAGGCCAGGCCTGATTGATAATAGGATGAAAGAATATCTTAAGGTTATAGTCTAGATTGGTAAATCCTAAAGTTGTAGTTTAGACTGGGAAGTTGAAAAAATAACCCAGAAAGCAATGGCAACTTTCTTCCATAGGGCTGCCAGGAACATATAGAACACTTTTGCTATATGAATCACTTTCACCAGCAAAGATGAAAAATATATGACTGGAAATATGAGAATAAAGAACCAAGTTTATTTTCTGGGAAAGCTGTGATTCTTCATATCAACAAAATAGACCTACAGTCATGGTGGCTCTTTTAATCTCCAGATTCAATGGGAATTGGCCATTATGAGAAACAGAATGCTACTCTAGCTGGATCATTTATCTAATAAGAGAAATACTGCAAAGCTAACTTATTCTAAAATATTCTCTTTAAATATGGACAAGATTCTTAAACAGACATATAGGTGATTATATGAAGATCTAGAGACTGCAGCTAAGATGCTGCTCATTCTTGAGTGCTGAATTTGTTTTTGGCCCTATAACAAAGAAAAAATCCTTCTGTCCATTAAATATATGCTAAGATGCACATTCACAGTAATTTCACCTCCACATTAACAAATACTGCAATATTGCCTAATTGCCCAAGTTGTCAAGAACCACCTCCCCAATCGTTTCTTGTAAATGGCATATTGACTATAATTGTATGTTTCTTATTCTGAAGCTTTGCGGAAACTTGAGGTTTGCAGTATTGCACACATCTAATATTAGAGAGGAAGAAGGAGGAAACGCTGTCAGTATTACATTCAACTGCTATTACTCTTCCTGTTCAATGACTTAGACGTTTCAGACCCATTTTAATGAGAACAGCTGTTTTTTTTTTCTCTGAGTGAATGGCTTCTTCCAAAACGTGTTGAGCCTCTCTGAGAGTAAATTGTGTTACTAATGGTGACTTCCAGTGCAGATGGCTGAACAACAATCAGGTGAAGCACACAGAGAAAACTCCATGTTAATTCTGGTTCAGCAAAACAGAAGGTGGTAACAAGCTCCTATTCAATAAAGCGAGGCACTCTTTCTGGTTTGGAAGGAACAGGTAAGTCACTATTTATTAATAGGAAAAAGTAGTTTCATGGAATTTTTGTCTGATCTGTTTTTATTTTCTAAGAGTAAAGGTTTTTGTTTGTTTGTTTAGTGCTTTCGTGTCAGTGTTGGCTCCTGGTGACTCCCTGCAGTTTTCTTGGCAAGCTTTTTCAGAAGTAGTGAGCTGTTGCCTCTTTCTTCAGGCTGAGTGAAAGTACATTGAACAGGGCTGAAAGTACCAAGCAGGAGACCTTATACCATTCTGGACAAGTGACTTATCTGAAGTCACCCAGTTGGATTTGGGGGTAAGGCAGACTAGAACTTACAGTCTCCTGGTTTTTAGCCTGGTGCCTTAACCACCATGCCACCAATCTCAGGTCTAATGATTTAATATTCAAAAGCTAACATAAATATTGTTAATAATATTAGGAGAGCTATTAATAAATTCAGAAGAAAAAAAAATGCCCTCAAAGGAAATATATTTTCTGCTCACCAAAGTCCATTCAAACCTTAGTTTACTAAATAAACCAGTCTTTTATAACAACGGCTGTTAATTAATTGCATAAACAGCCGCCAAGAATTCAAAGAATAATAACTGAAAGCTTACTATGGTTGGCAGAATGCCCAGAAGCAATTTGCAGGAAGCTGATAAGATAAGCAAGACAAGACATGAAGGTATGTGAACAAAGTTGTTCCCTGCAAATTGCTTCAGTCGGCGTTCCTCCTTAAATAGGCTAAGGGAGTGGCCAATTAGCCCCAAGCCTTACTCTCGAGGAGATCTCCTCCTGAGGAGCCACTCCTACCTTTTGGCAGCTCTGCGCGCCCGTGCATCGAGAAGAGGCTCCTCCTCTTCGCCCTCTTCACTTAAGGGAGCTTCTGGAGGTTCTGAAGGCCCTGGCTGAATCCCCACCATCTTCTCCAGCCTCCTCATTGTCCGACTTGAGTACCAACTGCAGAGACTGCTGGTGCAGCACCACACCAGCCTCCTCGCTGTCTGAATTGGCTACTAGCTGCACAGGCCGCGTACGGGCCACAACACTTGGCCACATTAAGCCTCATGGACTTCAACTCCCAGAATTCCTCAGCCAAACTGAGTTCTGTCACCAAAGAGAGGCTGAGGTGTCTGACTCTTTCTGTGTGTGACACAGAATTATTTTCCTCTGTGTCTCACCAGTGAAGGTATGACCGGCAGCCTATAGTATTATGAATGGGTAGCAAGCAAGTACATTCACATTAGGACCCAGTTAAAGATGCTTGAGGATCTGTTTAAAGAATGGGGGAGCTGGTAATAAAGAATTGGGTGAGGCCGGCACAAAAATGAAATCTGATTTGATTTAATTTCAGTTTACGTTTAGTTAAAATAATGTGACAAAATGTGATTAGCACCTGTGTATTTAATAAGAGACATGGCTAAGCTCATTTGTAAAACAAACAAAAGAATAAACAAACAAAAGGGATTTTAGAGATTTGGTCAGCTTCTTGCCATTCATGAACAAAAGCTACAGGTAGTATAAGAGCTGACAATTATCCAATAACTGAATCACATTCTGCCAATAGAATATAAACTTGAATAAATTCTGCCTTTTTATATTCACAAGAATAAGAAACGTGTTAATATTATTTTGAGAGATACATGTAGAATGCTAGATAATTGATTTGGCAAAAAAAAAAAAAGTCAGTGATCCTTAAACCATTTCCACTACTAATGAAAATGTACTTGATTTTTTCTATAACAAAATTATAGAATGTACTTGGATATTCAGATAAAATGTTTGTAAGTGAAAAGTTGAGTTCCTGACTTCCAAACAGGGAGAATCATAATATGAAATGATGCATTACACAACTTCTGTTCTTTCCTCATTTCCTCTTCACGGTACACTTAACTTTCTAACATCAATCATGCCTTAATTCTGAATAATCTCATTCATGCCAATGTGTTTATTCTACAGTAAATCATTTGTAATTCCAGTTCAGTTCCTAAAGATTCAGAGACAGGCACTTCTGTTATTGTTAACAATGAGATTCTGCACCTGCTTATGTCTGATGAAGGTGTGAATGCTACGATATCTGCTTAAATTTGGTGATGATTTTATTGATAGGAAATAATTTAGACAAGCTTTTCACACATAAAGAAGTATCAATTTGACTTCTTTGGTCTTCTAGGCAATCAATGAAATTATAAAGCTAACTTTTCATATCAAGTGGCATGAAGATAGAGCTAACTTCTTCCTTTGATCTGAAACACATTGTGCATTTTGCATAAAGAGAGATAATCTCCAGCTCGCAAATTCTTATGCCTCCTGGAAAACATGGTTGCTTGGAGGTACATTCCCCATATTTGCAAAACTACAGATGAATGGTGATTTTTCAGATAGTTCTCTCTCTATTGATCTCTGTTGTTATTTCTTTCTTCAAGTTACATCATTGAAATTCTCCCTCGTTTTTACTTGACGAGGATAGTTGTGGTTTTCCTATTGTACACCAATTCATGAGTCAATATACATGGGTGCAATATGAGTACACGTTGCTGGAAATAACAAAAGGACATCCTCTTGATTTGTATGAGAGGGGTGTGGTCAGAATTGCATTGTTTTATGCAAAGCCATTTCATGTGCCTCGAGAGACATAGGCAAAGCATAATTCTCTCTCTCTCTCTCTCTTTCTCTCTCTCTCTCTCTCTCTCTCTCTCTCTCTCTCTCTCTCTCTCTCACACACACACACACACACACACACCCAAAACAAATGAAACTAGGAAACAGCCCTTTACCTTTTATTACTTTGCTTATTCTAATTGGCTATTAAATACTTTTTTTTGAAAGCTACATATAACAAAGTGCACAAAGGTGTATAAGCAGAGTAAAACTGAGCAATGATAAACCACATTTCATACTACACTTATGAACCAACAAAGTTATAGTCAAAAGAACCAGGAGACAGTTAACAAAAATATACCCGTACCAATTTTCTACCAGAATTACTAATTTATTTCTTTTATCAATTTAATATTACTTCCAGTAGATTGGGAGCCTGAAGTTCATTTCATCGTGGGAGGAAGCAGACAACTGTTAATAAGAAGAGCAGATGTATTAAACAGATAATGAGTTTCTGAAAACAAAGGCTTGTCTGAAATACATACCTCTATTTTTACCGTTTTTAAAAAGAATGCATTGCAAATGCTTCACTAATGAATAAAGGATGTAAGTTTTCATAACTCCTTTGCCTGCTGGATGACACTGGATTCTCTGTTTTATGAACGTCAGAAGAGAAGATGTCTCAAGAATTTAACCTTAACTTACTTAAGGAACTGGAGCAAAACATTGTTCTAAATGTCCTTTGCCGTGACGAGATGTTGAGAAAACTGGAGGAACAAAGAGTAAGGTAGGTGTGTTCTTATTTGGGAATGCAGGCTGCTGTTGTTTTCTGAGCTGTGTAAGCTAATCTATTGTTCAAAATATATATATAACACAGTATCTTTTGAGGACCAAACAAAATGGCACGCAAAAATGTATGTTTATTGTCCAAGCTTTTGAGTTATCCTGAATGCTTCTGTGGTACGATAGCACAAAAACACCCTCTAGTGTTGAAATTTTAAATGAAATAATTTGTAGGAAGAAACCTAAGTGGTTTCATGGATTAATTTAACGAACATGGTGATGTGTTTAGCAACTGCTGCAGAAAAAATAGTAAAAACAGGTCAGTCAAGTGCCCAACTTATTTTATGTCAGTCATAACTTATGACTATCATTGCTGGCTCCATTACTATCCTGAGTTGAGGACTGAATTCCACTTGTTTCCAACTCTTATATCATGAAAATGCTAGCTGATGACTTAAGAAGTTTTAAGTAACTCAGATAAAACCATCAGAGTAAAACTGGTTTCTGGTTTTGTCCATTTCCTCTTCTCTAAAGTCAGAAGCAGTCGATCTGCCACTGTCTAGATAACTGGTTCTTTTTCTTCCCCTTTTATGTGGATTGTTGATTACAGGCTCTGCAGCAGTTTGAAGTGGGACAGTAGTTTGTGTGGCTTCTCAACATTTCAAACAGGCAGAAGCAGAGATATTCGCAGACCAAGCTCAAAGTATTTTTGTGGCTTAGGGAGTGAAACTGGTGGCTGTGTGGAAGTGCCATCATTCATTGTCAGTGGAGTCAGCTTGGCAATTAAGAATTTTGGGAAAAAAAATAAGGCTTTTGATGCTTCCATGCTGATTTTCAAGATAATATTCCAAAACAGTTTACAGTATCAGAAATTTAAATATTAAGAAAGCACACATTCAGCAAAGCAACTATAATAATTAGCCATCAATCTTTAAACATGAAAACAGAATTCTATATTCAAAACCAGTCACTCTTAAAATTCATTAAATTCATAAGCCTCCTTAAATAAGGATGGATTGATACTGTACTGGACAAGCATATTCTTAAAGGCAAAGTTGAACAAATAATAGGATACCAATAATGATGTTGTATAATTCATACTAGTAGTAAGATAGATCTTAATGCTTGTGCAATTTTATGTGCTTGCAGAAAGTTCTTCATGGTTGGTTTGGTTTACTACAATTTTTTACAATTTATTACAATGCCTGAAATGCACTACCTGACTCTGTGGTTTCATCTCCAAGCCCCCAAAATTTTAACCTTAGACTGGCTACTGTTGACCTCACCCCATTCCTAAGAGATCTGTAAGGGACGTGCATAAGAGCACCAGTGTGCCAACCATCCCTGTCCTAATGCATAAAATGAATACAATTAAAGGGAGCCTAATGTTCCCTTTAATTATATTCATTTTATGCATTCAATTCATGCTTATGCTTATATATATTATCTAATACATACTCGACAATAAAATAAAAAAATAAAAAAATATCAGCCCCAAATTATGGAAAACTCCTAACTGATCTTTCAGATGAACCCATTTACAACAGAATAAATGGGTTCATTCAGTTTTATCAGCTTTCCCACCAATTAAAGCTTTACCGTAATTAATTCTCCCTCCTCAAAACACTTTTTATTTATTTATTTGGTTAAATTTATATGCCACCCTTCTCCCAAAGGACTTAGGGTGGCTCACAAAAGGTTAAAAACCGAAGAACAATAAAAAAATATAATTAATTTAGCATAATTAAAATCCCACAATTTAAAACCCATATTAAAACCAACCAGAAACACCCCGCAGATCAGATGAGTTGTTTAAAAAGCCACATCTTTAGGTCCTTGCGGAAGGAGCGGAGGTCAGGAGCCGTTCGGAGCTCGGTAGGTAAGGCATTCCAGAGGGTCGGCGCGCTCACCGAGAACGCCCTCATCACTTTTTAGAGAATGTTTCATGGTTTATCTATGATCAATAGATGAAAATGCAAGCTAGAACTTGTCTCTGCATTGATGAGGCTCAGAGGTGTGCATTCTTGACTTGCTCAAGAATGGTACCTAGCCTTTACATTAGGATCACGTTGCAAAAATGGAAGGGGTGATCAGGGCCAAGTTTAGAAGGAGGGTTTAGTAGTTTTAAGGGGTGACATTGTTAGATAGTGTCATCGATGCAATTAACATGAATTTGAGCAAACTTTGGGAAGCAGTGGAAGACAGGAAGCCTAGCATGCCATGATACATGGGATTGTGAAGAGTCAGTCACGATTTAGCAACTAAACAAAACAAATAGAGATCTTGAGTACTTCGAAGTGTTAGATACTGTAGAGTTTTGCCCTTAAACTGACAAAACTGCTAGAGCTGTTTGGCCCTAACCATTCTGGTAGGTTTAGGGTTCTACATTAGGAATGCCCTTTTTGAGATCCTTTGGAACCCAAATCTCCAGATCCTTTGCCCTATCTACTTTATTTAGGGATGTAAGAGGGGTTATAAAATAGAATAGAATTTTGCAGTGCCCCATATGTGAAAGCCATTGAAAAATATAGAAATAATCTAGGTACAGGGTCAGATTGCCAGATTACTAGTCAGGACAAATTGGAATCTGCTTAATATCAAGTCATTCAGATCATTCAAGCCATGCAGCATAATATTCCATTTTTCATGAGAATTTGTAGGTTGACATCCTTCCTGGTTCTTGTGCCCTGAGCATGTAAGAATCAAATTAAAATATATCCAACTCCTCCGAATAATCCAAAATTGCTTGGAATTAGGATGCTATCATCTTCTCCAAAACTTTGTTCAAGAATGGGCCATTAAATATTCTGGGGGTAATTTCCCAGGGTATTTGACCTTTGACATTGGAGGTTTAGTAGAAGAGTTCCTTTCCATGGAACTCAGAGTATCACATTTCACAGCTAAAGCTTAATAATATTTAGAATTTGTAGTGTTGGTACATGTCCCATCTGGCAAATATGTGAATATTCTTATTTCTTTCTGGCCAACTACAGCAAACTGAAAATCCAACTGCAGCAACTTTGGCGTAAAGGAACAAAAAATGCCAACTATGGATCTCAGAAACGGTCATGTGCCCGTTGTCAGAAATCGTTTGGAATCCTGATCGATAGAGGAGCAGTGTGCAAAGGATGCAGCCATCATATATGCTCTCAATGTCGCATTATTATAAATGCCTTTCTGTGGAAATGCACTGCCTGCTATGCTTCTGAGTAAGAATCCACCTTAGTTTAATACTCGAATTGCTGGTTATTCTTTAGTAGTTTTCTGATATGAAAACACATCAAACTAAGTACAGGAAGTCCTTGACTTACAACAGTTCATTTAGTGACCGTTTGAAGTTACAATGGAACTGAAAAGCTGACTTATGACCATTTCTCACACTTAGGACCATTGCAGCATCCCCATGGTCAAGTGATTTACATTTGGATGCTTGACAACTGACTCACATTTATTTATTATTATTATTATTATTTTATTATTCATATTTCTATGCCGCCCACTCTCTGAGGACTCTGGGCGGCTTGCACCAAAGACAGTATACTAAATAGCATATTGCCCCTAACAATCTGGGTCCTCATTTTACCCACCTCGGAAGGATGGAAGGCTGAGTCAACCTTGAGCTGGTGAGATTTGATCCGCTGATCTGCTGAATTAGCAGTCAGCTGAAGTAGCTGCAGTACTGCACCCTAACCACTGCGCCACCTCGGCTCTTATGACGGTTGTAGTGTCCCAGGGTCATGTGCTCCCCTTTTGCGACCTGACAAAGTCAACAGAGAAACCAGATTCACTTAGCCATGTTACTAATTTAAGGACTGTAGTGATTCACTTAACAAATGTGGCAAGAAAAGTCTTAAAATGGGGCAAAACTCACTTAACAAATTTCTCACTTAGCAACATAAATTTTGGGCTCAACTGTGGTCATAAGTTGAGTGCCACCTGTATATATTTAACAATGGGAACCCCTATCTTGGGAATCAGATTTATAGGAGTTTCCGAACAGCCAGCTGCTGAAAATGGCAGAAGGGCTTGAGAAACAATAAGTCTATGGTTTCAGAAGAAGAATTGGAAAAAATAGTTCCTGAGGAGGGAAGAAAAAAGGGTTGAAATGGGTATATGTATGAGCTGACTTTCAGGAAAAACTAATTTTGTTTTTTTTATTAATAAAATAGTTGTAGAGCTTGTAGCCGAATACGGTGTCTGAATGGAGTTTCAAAAATAAACTGCAGCAATAGGTGGTCTCATTATGAATTAGCGTAGGATTTGAAAAGAAAGGGGTTTGGTATGCTAGTGCAAAATCACAGAATACATAACTCTGATTATAAAAGAGTTGATGTTCCACGGCTCTTGATCACCATGATGGAATTGATTTGACTTTTTATAGCTAGTCCATTTATTGCTCCTTAAAAAAGAAATGTCTAAAATTCAAATAAGCACTTAATTTTAATTTTATTTTTTGCAGGGCTATTAAAGTAAAAACAGGTGAATGGTTCTTTGAGGAGCGAGCAAAGAAATTCCCAACTGAAGGTACCTAATAAAAACAGAAGCATTAAATCATATGTCAGATAAGTTGATAAGTTTGATAAGTTTCTCCTTCTAATTCATGCTTTATCTTAGCAGAAACAGTCTTCAAGAATGCAAATTTATAAGTGTTGAGATTTCAAAATGCAATTTTATTGAGAATAGAATAGAATAGAATAGAATTCTTTATTGGCCAAGTGTGATTGGACACACAAGGAATTTGTCTTGGTGCATATGTGTTCTGCCCCAACTACGGACCCCAAAGAACGCAGCATACACAAAGTCCGTTCAAACCTTAGTTTACTAAATAAACCAGTTTTTTACAACAATGGCTGTTAATTAACTGCATTAACAGCCGCCAAGAATTCAAAGAATAATACTGAAAGCTTACTGTGGTTGGCAGAATGCCCAGAGCAATTTGCAGGAAGCTGATAAGATAAGCAAGACAAGACACGAAGGTATGTGAACGAAATTGTTCCCTGAAAATTGCTTCAGTCGGCGTTCCTCCTTAAAAAGGCTAAGGGAGTGGCCAATTAGCCCCAAGCCTTACTCTCGAGGAGACTTCCTCCTGAGGAGCCACTCCTACCTTTTGGCAGCTCTGCGTGCCCGTGCATCGAGAAGAGGCTCCTCCTCTTCGTCCTCTTAACTTAAGGGAGCTTCTGGAGGTTCTGAAGGCCCTGGCTGAATCCCCGCCTCTGGCACCACATCTTCTCCAGCTTCTTCATTGTCTGACTCGAGTGCCAGCTGCACAGGCTGCTGGCGCAGCACCACACCAGCCTCCTCGCTGTCGGAATCAGCTACTATCAGCACAGGCCGCTGACGGGCCACAACAATATGGTCTCAGTGTACATAAAAGAAAAGATACATTCTTCAAGAATCATAAGGTACAACACTTAATAATAGTCATAGGGCTATCATAGGGTTATAGTCATTGAGCTATAATAGTAGCAATTGTATTGAATTATTTAAATTCACCCTGCCTTATATGCATAAATATATGCATTTGTCATAGATAATAACACTCAACTGCTTAGGTTAGTTCATTTTTTGTGCTGAATTCAATGATTTTAGTACAATTACAGGTAGGCACTTGGTTGTCCTTCTTTGCATTAAGATATGGCCTCTTTATGTCCATTAATCGCATCACCATTATTTTCAGCAAATTTCTGCATATAGATAGAAATATTAGAACTACAACAACAATATGATATTATGACAGATTCGGGGAAGTCATTGGGAGGTTGGAGTTCATTTTTATAAGATCAGTAAGCAGTGCTTCTTAAAACTGTGTCACAGAGAGCTTTGGATATAGGGGGGAAATTACCTGAGTAAGATAGGAATGATATTAATAACTTATTTTTAAATGAGAAGCTATAATTCAGTAATGGGAGTGTTAGAATGAACTTAGAAGAAACGTTTAATGAAAATCAAAACCATTCCTTATGGAAATATGGAAATATTCACTGTTTTTATAACAGAGAAGCAACAGAAGTGAAAGTAGAGATAAACTGAAGAAAGCCAGCATTGTCTACTGGTGAAGGTGCTGTCACTGGATTGGGGAGACCCAGATTAGAATCCCTGTTCAGTCACAAGTCTCCCTGAATGCCTTTTGGTCAGTCACCCTCTTCCAGGCAAATCTAGCTCATGAGTTGCTGCGGTGAGGTTAGAATATGTGCCATCTGTACCTCTGAGAAAGATGGAGGGGCAGAAATAAAACAAAGAAATGATGTGTTGTTAAAATGAAGGAACTTGTTTATTTGCTGCTCTATTATACCAGGAGGTCAATTTCCCATTGACTTTCTGCAGTAGAAAAAGCAAAAGGTGACTCAGTGATGTGCCAAGGAAGTAATGATTGCCTCAGTGATGTGCCAAGGAAGTAATGACGGCCTCCTTCATAGAAAGCACATTCTTGTAGAGTTATTCTCACACTGCTTTCATCTAGTGCAGGGGTGTCAAACTTGCGTCATCACGGTGTCATCACATGACATATTGGGACTTCCCCCCCTTCATTAAACTGGGTGGGGGTGGGGCCAGCACGTGACGCATCTGGCCCGCAAGTTTGACACCCCTGATCTAGTGCAAGACATTTGCTGAGGGATTTCCTTATCAGGGTGGACCTTTCTCTGGTGGCAAATTCTACCTGGGCAGTAGGGCACAGTATTTTCCAAAACACAGAACAACAATGATAACATTGCAGGATCCAATCTGGATCAATCACCAGGACCAGAGGTTTAGTCTTCTGAGCTTTCAGACATTCGTGCTGGAGCCCATCCTCAGGGGATTTCTCTCTCTCCAGAATGTGCGCTTTGGGCTATTTTATGCATACTATTTATGTGGTGCCTGGTTGTGTGTAGTTTTTTAGTTGTTGATTGGGATATTGATGGCTGGCTATTAAGTCATAATTAATAGCCAGTCATCAACACCCCAATCAAAAACTAAAAAGCTATATGCACCAATAAATACTAGATATATAATAGCCCAAAGCACATATTCTGGTAGAGAAAAGTTCTCCGAGGATGGGCTCCAGCACAAGTCTAAAAACTTGGAAGATTAAACCTCCGGTCCCGGTGACCAACCCAGATTAGATCCTGCAACATTATCCTGGGACATGGATATTTGCTTTCATTTGTAATGATAACCTTGTTGGTTCATGGGTAGAAAAATAGAGCCTTCATACCAGGGGGTCTTTTTAAAAAAAAAAACAAAACGTGCTGAGAGTTCAAATCTCTCCAGTTCCTAAATAGTGTCAGATGCAAGAAATCAGGAACCAAAATAGAGTTCAAAAGTACTACAAGTTTAATTCATGCTCATATACACAAGAATCTAATCTACCAATGGTCCAGGCAAATTGGTGCCAGGTAAGAGTTAAGGGACTTAAAGGGGGGCTGGACTTAGATCTCTTATGGAGGCATAGCGACTCCAAATTGATGATGCGTTTGACCCTGGCCTCAGGCTCAGCCTTGTCATCTCCTACAGTAATGTTACAATGAATTGATCTTTTTTTAACTTAGCGCACCACGTAACTTTACCGTCTGCCTTTCCTCTGTATTGTTTTTAACATCTTCTTTAATTTTGCTCTTTGTCAGGCTAGATGCTTATGTGCTTTGTCCATGATAGAAGACAGAAAGGGATATATATCCTTTGTGTTTTCAGAAGTAGGAACATGACTTTAAACAGCAGGCTTTATGATTCAAATTGCGGTTGTGCTCTACACTTTAAATTTTCTTGCTTTTGTCTGACAAAGAGTTGTGGAGAACGTGAAGGCTTGCACCAATGGTGGGTTGCTACCGGTTTGCAGCGGATCAGGCGAACTGATAGCAGCGATGGCGGGAGGCTCCGCCCACCCACCCGGATGCTTCTGTGCATGCGCAGAAGTGCCGTGCAAGTGCGCCCGTGCATGAGCGAGCCAGTAGCGATGGGATTTGGAACCTGCCCCTGCTTGCACAATATCTTAGCCAGTGTGGTTGGCCCATGTTCTGCTTAAATACGGATGTGGGTTTCTTTTCCTCATGGGCCATCATACACCTTCCTTTAAAAAAAAAAGCTATCATGAGAATTTTCTTAGGTGGAAATTTCTATATACACTCTTGCCAAAGCTGCCTATACCAAGTGTCAGTGCTTAGTTGGCTTTCTAATCTTTTCCCCATCTACCCAATTAATTCAGAGCATTTCTCTTGCAAAAACACTGGAAGATAGAGGCCAAATTGAGTTTTGTTCTAGTTGCAAAAAAGTGGAATTTATTCAAAAGCATTGCTGCTGTTGAGACCCAGAAGGTGATGGAGGGTTGTTGCCTATATTTTTAGTGTATGTTTTTTTAAATGATAGCAAAGAGAAGAAAGAGAATGCAATTTAAACATAAGATGGGGCAAGGAAAAGAAGAAATCATATTTCAAAAACTTATAAATTGCTCATGAAAATAGAGATAGGTGAGGAAATAGTCAAAGATTCCATGATCGCTTGGGGGAAAAATTTTGGGTATCCAATACACTTAGATAAATGGCAAGAGATTTGGTGGGATAATATGAAATTAGTAGTATCCACGGCCTATAAAGAAAATATCTATAAAATGATATACAGGTGGCACCTGCCTCCTGATAGACTAGCTAAAATGTTCTCTGGGCAGTCGGCGGATTGTTGGAAATGCGGATGGGAACATGGCACCTATTACCACCAGTGGTGGATGTGTCCGAAAGCAGTGATATTTTGGGGGAAAATAAAAGAATGGCTCAATGAGATCTTAATGTTAAAAATCGATTGGCGACCAGAGACATGCCTGCTCAGTGCTAAGCCGGAAAATATAAAAAGGGATTTATGGTATTTGGCACTACATATCATTACAGCGGCGAGACTGACGTATGCTCAACTCTGGAAAAATCAAAATATCCCAACAGAGGAGGCTATTATAAAAAAAAATTTAGAATGTGCGGAAGCAGATATGCTAACTAAAAAATTACAGGATAGAGAGCAAACACAAGTAGGTTTAGCTTGGGACAAATTCTATAAATGGTTAGAAAAGAGGAAACTATAACCCACATTAGATGAGGAATAGTATTTAATGAGAAATTTATATTATATAGGATAAGTGAGGTCGGATAGACCTAATTGATGTATTAAGGTATATAAGCTGTTCTGTCTTTTCCGGAATATAATTTAGAGTTATAGTACCGAATATTTGTTCATTAAGGTACTATATGGAAGTACATATGTTTATTATTGTATTGTTTTTTGTGTGTCACTTTATGTTGTGTTGTCTTTTCTTTTCAACTGAAATGTAAATAAAGATTATTTAAAAAAAAAAGAAAAAGAAATTATGAAAGTAAAGTAATATTGCAATTATTTTTTTAAAAAAAAATAGAAAATCTATAAGTGAATTTTAATTACATTTCAAATGTATATGTTAAACAGTGTTTATACGAATAAGATAAAAACAAATCTAAATCTATGTATATACTTAAAGTAACCCCCCCCACCTCAAAGAAATCAGTATTATTTTTTTTTGTAATGGT